ACCGAAAACTGCCCCAAGGTCTCACAACTACAAACTGTCTCATTCTGGGTTTTCAAAACGCGCTGTGAAAAGTTAAAAGTTGGCATCATGACAACTTTGGGTGTGAATTTCTTTAAAAACACTTTCAATCCTGAACAATAAATCCAGGTTTGAGAGCAACAAAAGCTGCCATCCTGGCTTTCAAGACACATCTTTTTACCTTGGATACATTTTAAAACATCTAAGAATTACAGCATCATCAGGACAAACAGGTCTGGCAGTGAAACTACCTGCAGCTCACACTTTTGAAGAATAATTTGAAGAAGAGGAGTAAATGTTTTTCATTGTTGAGGGGTGTGTGGGATTTAATTTTCAAAATAAAATTTGTAATTGTTAAAAGCAGAGGTAACACGGAGGAGTGGCCTAGGGAACATGTCTTCTAAACATCCTGAAAATAAGAATTTATGTTTTTATAAATTAGAAACTGCTTCATGTTTTTTGTTTTTTACTTAAAAAGCCAAATCTGATCCTGTTCATTTTGGCAGCTTGAAACATGTCTAGATGATTTTAACAGGAAGCAGTTATGTAAATGTTTTATTTGGTGTAAAAGAGACTAAGTCACACTGACTCTGCGTGTTTTAAAAACAGGAAATGCGACTTCATATGCATTTCATTCACTTCATTTATTTGTGTTGTTGCTGTTCATGACGTTCAGTGGTGATCAGTGACCGATTACCAGGATTACAGAAAGTGAGAGGAAAGATCAGAAATAACACAAGATTCTGCCAAATTATGTCCGGGCATTTTTGTTTGATGTTTTAGATMAAGTTTAATTAGAAGCTATCAGATGTTATTTAACTACAAATATTCTAATTAGAGCAATTTAAAAAGTGGAAAATAATCTTCCTCCTCCAGATCACAAACAGGTTAATCTGCGTCAGTGCTCTTTGATCTACTTACAAAAGTCACGTCTTGAGAGCTCTTTAGTGTAGGTGTGTTTGTGTAGAGCTGTCTGACAAGATTTTTGTTGTCACATTGTTCATATTGGGGCTAAAGGTAAAAACTCTGTTATTTAACCCACAGAAATCTGCTAAATCAGCAGGTTCTCTAAACTTTTCTCATGTTAGTTTGAAGCTCATCAAAGCCAAAATAATTTAGTCTTAGTTTCTTTTTCAGTGTTTGATCTGTTATTTTATGCAGTAAATAAAATAAAAATAAAAAGTCTAACTCTGTGATAAGCAGTTGGTCTCTGGGTCCCAGCAGTCTTGGTTCACAAAGTAACAGATCCTCACTAAACGGAGCACAATCTGCAGGATTTCACTGTAACCTGGTTTAGTAAAGACAGAGCTTTAGTCGGTGTTGACCAAGGAGGACCTATAGAACTGGAGTGCTCAGAAACCAGGTGACTGTGTGATCGGCTTGAGAAGCTAACGGCTAACGCTAAACGGTCAAGAGTCTGGAKTTMCCATYGCTGTACATGTTGACAACAGAGCAGAAAAAAAGGACTGATGTAGAAATCATAAAAACTATTAATAATATTAACACAATTATTAATAATTTACAGTTTATATAATATATCTGTTTTAAATAATGCCAGAAAAGCTGTTTATGTTATAGATTTATTAAGAGAAGATAAACAGGAAAACGTCTCATTTTACAACACAAGTCAGCAGATTTGATCTTATTTAGCTCAATGTGATCTGAGCAGAACATAATGTAACAGTTTAAATTAAAATAATATTATAAAGTTGCTGTAATCACTGTTATTTATTGAACTGGTTAGCAG